ACTAGGCACCTATCTGCATCTTCAGGACTGTACAAGCTTAACTACATGTCTCCTTTTGTGGGGAACCCAGGAATCAAAGCAGAAGCAGAGGGCCTGCATTGAAGACCTTCATCTGCTACTGAAAATAAGATAGCACAAGGGGAATGAGAGACCCAAAATTACAGAGACCGGAATACTCTGACAAAAACAACCCAATTTTAAAAGGATAAAAAATTACACTTAAAGGAGATCAGTTAAGGTGAATGTCAATATAGAATATAGAACATTCCGTGAAAGAGAGTAACAGCCCTAATAAGACAAGCAATTCATGTTCCTCAGAAAAAGGCATCTTAGTCCTGAACCAATGAATTCTGTGTCAGAACAAACAGCAAAAAAACAACAAAGGTAATCAAGCTCTCAAGAGAATGACAGAGAGAAGAACTTTCATTATCATTGGATGTGATGGCATATCTTGCATGGAAAAAAAAGTCAGGCATCCCCCTGACCTCAGAAGTGAGTTCTCAACTATAATGAAGGAGCAAGTAGGAAGAAATGAAAAGCACAAATATTGCTGAACATCACCCTGCAAAACCCTACCAACAGCATACAAGAAACACAGTAAGTGTTTAAAAATAAGATCAGTGTAAGTGTGAGAGGCAAAACTTAATGTAACTGAGGGGAAAAATAGGCCATGTTGCTTCCTTACATCTAATAATGAAGAAATAACTTCCTGGGACATGTTTACACAGTGTCAAATCAGGGCATCCAAAAAAACAGCCAACTCTTCCTCCAGGTGGCTGCTTTTAGCAACATCGCTGTCCCATTTACTTCTTTAATGTTCTCTTTGCTCTGCAGTCAACTGCTGCTCCTCTGAGCAGATAAAAATCAAAATGTTTTGAAAGAGAACATGTTGGAATAGCAGCATTCATAATTTTATGTATGAGCAAAATGTTCAAGTTATACCCAACCCTTTTCATTATGTGTCTTCACTGATAGATAGTATTTTACAGCCATGTTGGCAGGAATTTAAACTTTTGATCAGGATGATGCTTCAAAACATTTATTGGGCCCGAATTTGTACCGCTTTCCCAAACTTTTTCTCATCCTGGTGGGTCCTGAAACAGTGAAGCTTAAAGTAACCTCTATTTCAACTGTTATATTTTGCTGTATTATAGACTATTAACTAAGTAAAACTCACACACAACAAAGTTCCTTCATTGTGATTCTGTGGTTGAAGCCAATTTGAGTCTGATATTTCTGGTGATAAACATAGATCCCATTTCCACCTTCCATAGTAGCCAGAGTAAGTGGAGAAAATATCAGACTTCATTTCTTTTTTTCCCTAAATCCTTTATTTCCTCAATCCATCCATTTACCTCAATCTGGCGATTTTAGGTCCCTCTTTAACAGGGGAATCAGGAACTTCTCATGAACTCAGCAGCACAAGACTCAAGCAACCTCTCATTCACTGCAGGGAGAAGGTCACATAATGGAGGAACACATATTAGATAAGGAGTAAAATTTTCAAAAGGTATTTAGGTGCCTAAGATGCAGATAGATGCCTAATGGGATTTTCAAAAGTGCTTAGGTGCTTGAAATCAATGAGAGTTAGGTGCCTAGGTCCTTTTGAAAAGGTCACTAGGCACCTATCTGCATCTTCAGGTGCCTAAATACCTTTGAAAATTTAGCCTTATGTGATTGAGAATCTTAAATCGTATTGATTTTAAATAAGACTTAGGTTCCTAAGTGCCTAAAAGTCACTTTTAAAAATGGAAGTAAGTTCCTAGGTCACTTAGTCTCTTTTGAAAATTTTGCCCCAGATCCTTAGAGGGTAGAAGTCAGCATAGCTCCACTTAAATCAATTTCAAAAGTGTTTTCTCAATTAGTCAGAATAACCTG